CACCTCTTATAGTGCGGTCCTAACTCTAAACTATGAGAGTCTCCATCTTGGAGCACATGGGGGCAGAAGATATCAAATTGGGTGCAGGCCTGTCAGGAGGACGCCCCACCTCCTTAAAAGGTACAGAGACACACAAGGGAGGAATAGTGCCCCATCATTGGTGTCAGTCTAGGAATAGTGCCCCATCATTGGTGTCAGGGGAAGGAATAGTGCCCCATCATTGGTGTCAGTGGGAGGACTAGTGCCCCATCATTGGTGTCAGTGGGAGGACTAGTGCCCCATCATTGGTGTCAGTGGGAGGACTAGTGCCCCATCATTGGTGTCAGTGGGAGGACTAGTGCCCCATCATTGGTGTCAGTGGGAGGACTAGTGCCCCATCATTGGTGTCAGTGGGAGGACTAGTGCCCCATCATTGGTGTCAGTGGGAGGACTAGTGCCCCATCATTGGTGTCAGTGGGAGGACTAGTGCCCCATCATTGGTGTCAGTGGGAGGACTAGTGCCCCATCATTGGTGTCAGTGGGAGGACTAGTGCCCCATCATTGGTGTCAGTGGGAGGACTAGTGCCCCATCATTGGTGTCAGTGGGAGGACTAGTGCCCCATCATTGGTGTCAGTGGGAGGACTAGTGCCCCATCATTGGTGTCAGTGGGAGGACTAGTGCCCCATCATTGGTGTCAGTGGGAGGACTAGTGCCCCATCATTGGTGTCAGTGGGAGGACTAGTGCCCCATCATTGGTGTCAGTGGGAGGACTAGTGCCCCATCATTGGTGTCAGTGGGAGGACTAGTGCCCCATCATTGGTGTCAGTGGGAGGACTAGTGCCCCATCATTGGTGTCAGTGGGAGGACTAGTGCCCCATCATTGGTGTCAGTGGGAGGACTAGTGCCCCATCATTGGTGTCAGTGGGAGGACTAGTGCCCCATCATTGGTGTCAGTGGGAGGACTAGTGCCCCATCATTGGTGTCAGTGGGAGGACTAGTGCCCCATCATTGGTGTCAGTGGGAGGACTAGTGCCCCATCATTGGTGTCAGTGGGAGGACTAGTGCCCCATCATTGGTGTCAGTGGGAGGACTAGTGCCCCATCATTGGTGTCAGTGGGAGGACTAGTGCCCCATCATTGGTGTCAGTGGGAGGACTAGTGCCCCATCATTGGTGTCAGTGGGAGGACTAGTGCCCCATCATTGGTGTCAGTGGGAGGACTAGTGCCCCATCATTGGTGTCAGTGGGAGGACTAGTGCCCCATCATTGGTGTCAGTGGGAGGACTAGTGCCCCATCATTGGTGTCAGTGGGAGGACTAGTGCCCCATCATTGGTGTCAGTGGGAGGACTAGTGCCCCATCATTGGTGTCAGTGGGAGGAATAGTGCCCCATCGTTGGTGTCAGTGGGGGGGGGTGGTGAGATAAAGGCAAGAAGAGGGGTGCAGTTTGGTAATCACGGCTTTGGTGTGCGCTGCATTGTCCGGTAACGGTGGGAATTGATATTATTTGGGCTGTTGTGCGATTCTTTCTTCTATGAAGCCTCATCCACACACACTGTGATAGTGACATCCTGTGGAGATTATTGACTGAAAGTAAATATTTACCGATCTTTGTTTTTTACTTAGTTTTGTAAACCTGTTTGATGTATCCCCCCCCCCTCGGGGGTTCAGATTTGTTTTTTTTGTAACACGTTTTCTGTTTTTGTTGCAGCAATGTTCGTTTCCTCATGATCGTGCTGGCTTACGCGATCCCTCTCGGGTTTTACGCTGGGTGGTCGGGGGTTCTGGATCTGATTTTTCGATAGACACAATAGAAACACTGATACCAAGGTAAAATGCAGAGAGCAGCATGTGCAGCGATGAGTGGCGAGTGTTAGAGGTCACATTGGCTACACACAAACCAATAGTAACTAAATAAAATGCTATAATAGAACATGGGGGGGCCCCGCTGTATGATTCTCTGCTTCTCCATCGGCCATCTTGATCCTCAGTGCAATTCCAGTCCTCATAATGAAAGTGAGCTAGGAACAGGCGTTTGCCATATTACCAGAGGCCAAATGTTACATGGCTATTCCTGGTGGGGTGTCGAGGTGAAGGTAAAACGGGTTATGTTGCCAAAGGAAGTCACACTCTGAGCTTCTCTCACAATGTGCATTATAAGCTGCAGCCAATCAGATAGAACCCACCTCATTTCCTGGCTGGAGGGACGTCCAGCATCATCTAGCCTTTCCCTCCCCAACCTGACTGCCCCTGGCTCCGCCCCTCTCCCTGATTTTGGATCTAATTTATTTCAGCCATGAAGGCTCAGCATCACATGTGGGCGTTACCTGGGGTGGTCTGTATATGCAAAAACAGCCTAGGAATGCCCACTACTCCAGACTGACTCCCACCCATCAGGGCATTTTGATATTTGCATAACTCCTCCCAAAAGCACGCCCGCTACTTGCATCAGGTCTGATGGCTCTTGACTGGAGTACTAAGGCAGGGTGATATTTTCAGGAAGCTATGTACAGCACTCTGCCGGCCCCTCCCACCATCCATGATTTACTTGCATTGCATAGAGAAGCACAGACACTCAGTGATGGTGGCATTTGATTGCTGCTCCATCCTTGATTGACACCAGCGTTGACCACATCAAAGAAAAGGAAAGCTGGGGCATTCCATACGATTCAAAACACTGGCAGCTTTATTACTTCGAACAAGGAGTCCCCGCCTGGGACTTCCTTCGCTGACACATTAGGCGTTGGTGAAATGCGTCAGGGAGGGGGCGGGATTTATTTGTCAGGAGTAATTGGGTTCCCAGCATCTGCCTTGAATCCTATGGAGTTCCGCAGGCTTTCTTTTCCCCTGGTTATGTTTGGCGCGTGGGGCACGGATCTCCGGCCTGGTTTCCGCCCTGGAAGGGTGACCCCGGTATAAGCTTGGGAGCAGCGCACCCTGTTTTCTGGTGTTAGTACTGACTACTCAGAATCCAGCTACGGCTCCGTACACATTGAGTCATCTGAGGGATTCATTGGGTTGTGCTGACCTGTTGGAGGGGATGACGTTCAATACTCTACCCACCTAATATTATGAAATAAAAGCCCCCCCTCCCCCCCTCTACATAAAACTGAAATCCATTTGCAGTGTACCTCTTCTTTAGAAAATTTTACCCACCCCCCCATCTCACACACACACTTTTTATATAAGTAAAAGGTTTTTGCTGAGGGCTCCTCAGCGCTGCGCCCACATAATTACATATCGGTCCTCCTCCGCAGGTTGATGCCGGCTGGATCGGATTCTGGTCCGTTGTTGGGGGATGCGTTGTCGGAATCGCTGTGGGCAGGTATGAAAAGGTCCATACGTGTAAATTATATGAATGCGGTTCTCGGAGTGCGATGACAAGTAGTCTGTTGCATGTCACGTCTGGTACTGGTGGAGATACTCAAGATTATGATGTGAAGAGGATCCATAATGGCGGCAGTTTGGTGTGTTGCCTATCATTGTGATGTGGCCAATTTATTAGAACTCTCTAATTAAATTTTTTCATCTACCTGCACGCTACAGATACGGTTAAATACTTACTTCTGTGCGCTTCAGCATGCGCTGACCCCGCTCTGTCATGTGACGTGGCCTACCACTTCCTGGCTGAGTTGCTGTTGTTCCCAGTTGCTTCCACTTTGTTATAATCCCAGTAACAGGCGACCACGGAATATTTAGTAGCCGGGAAATGTCACGGAACACCTGAATCCAATGATTTGGAGGGGTGTCCCAATACTTTTGGCAATATAATGTATATTAACATTTACCGGCCCAACCCCCCTTTAATTCCAGAGCAAAGCTCGGAACAAAGAACAAAGAACAACTTTTCATTCAGAATAGAGCATGCATATTCAATGCAGCAAGATACAGTTTACTTATCTAAGTCTGCTGCCTGTGTCCCTCGCCCACGCCTTTTCCACGTGCGGATGGACTGCTAATTCAGCGCTACAGATGTGCACACGCCGGCCAGTGCCCATCTGTCCCCTCCTGCTGACGTCACCACTTCAGAGTCCTGTTCTGGGTCCTGAAAGGACTCCACCACTGGGCAGCCAATAGGAAGTGTCCACGTAGTGCATGCAGTGATGTGGCACCCAAAGATGGGCCTCACCTTCTGTAAATTAAAGAGAAGAGAAGGTACAGCTGCCACTGACCATCAGTCTCACTAGATCTGGAGTTAGATTCGGTGATGTCATTCACTACGAGCTGCTCACTGTGTTCTATCAAAGATTGTGACTGGGTTGGAATGTGTGACCGGTCACGTGGTCTCACATTTTAACATAGTCACGCCCACTTTTTCTGCGGTGGAATATGTGACCGGCAAAAGGTGAAGAATTCCAATGCTTTCTCAGCTGTTCCAGGGCAGATCGGCATCACAGATGGTATGTGCAGGAGAATCGATCTGCCCTGGAACAGCTGATTGGTCCTGAAATGTCACTTCTATCCGACTTTGTGAGTGCGATCTCACATTCCACAAAGTTGGATAGAAGTGACATTTCAGGACCGATCGGCTGTTCCAGGGCAGATCGATTCTCCTGCACATACAATCTGTGATGCCGATCTGCCCTGGAACAGCTGAGAAAGCTGTGGAATTCTTCACCTTTTGCCGGTCACATATTCCACCGCAGAAAAAGTAGGCGGGATTAGGTTAAAAAGTGTGACCACATCACCGGTCACACATTCTAATGCAGTCACAAAGTTTGATGGAACAAACTTGTCCTTGCTGGAGAGAAAGCTGTGCCAGAGAACCTGCAGCGCAAGGATCTCCCAGCTTCTGCTTCATGCATTCTGTGACTCTGTGCTTCCTCCTCCTCTATCATGACCCCACCAGTCATCAGAATAACAGTCATTAGGGGGATAACCAGGCTGAAATTCGCGTAGTGTATACTCTACTATAGCGCATTGACACTTTCCCTTTTTTTTCTTCTTTTCTTGCCCCCTCCTGAGCGGTCGCCCACTGTATTCGCTGGCACTTAGAGCCTATACAGTCGTCTTTGGACTAATAAAATAGTTATGGCAGCAGTAACCTCCGTCTGTCGGATCGCAATAGAACGCATGTCATATTAAAGCGTAGACGAGGTGGCATTGAAAAGCCAATTTGCCATTGAATAGGAAGGTCATCGAAGCAGCCGATCCTGGCAGGCGGCAGCGCGAGCCACA